GCCGATGAAGTATGCTATGAAATATTTATGGTCCCCGGCAAATGTAACTTAAAACGAAGAGCATTAACGTAGAAACGTAAGGAACGTAAACATCAACAAACGATTGCCCTCGTCAAAACAGCCAATATAGCATACAATTGAATTAATCCACACCAAGACCATAGAAAATGGTAAAAACATTGGAGCAACTTCCATGAGTACATTGAGCATAACATGAAACTACACATCAACAAAAGAGCTCACAGATGCCGAAAAAACTAGGAACGTCACGACCTTTGGGTACGTGAAATCAGGACGGCGGGACGACCTGACATGGACAGCGAATCTGGACTCGGACGACCTGACGATGACAGCGATCAGGACCGGACGAACCACTGAGATGACAGGCGAAATCAGGAAACCGGACGAACCCGGGCATGACAAGCGAAGAAGTGACTCGGGCCTCTTCCTTCGAGAACTGGGAATAAAAAAAACTTGCAAACAAAAACCTGAAATAAATGCAACGGTTTTGTTTTGTTCGCAGTCGAGCGCCTCCGATCCGTAATGATCATTCCGACGCAATGAGATGAAGGGGAGAAACGAGTGGTAAAGCGCAACTGCGCCCATCATGGAGGGCCTCTGCTATCAAGCATGAACCGGGCACAGGGACCCTTCTTTGGGTTTGTGCGGTCGCCCGGGCGGGGCTCCCACGGGGCGGCCGGGAGGCCGGCTCACGGCTGACGACAGCGGCTTGCCCCCGTGATGAGGAGACGTGACAAGGAATCAAGGATGAAAGGATGAGTGGCCGGAAAGCAGGGCGGACTGATTGCATTTGTAGCGGTGTTAGGTAATGCTGGCCGTGCCGCTCCGGCCGTGCGGTACGCCCTGGCCGGCCCTTCAAGGGTCACCGTTCCCCGGCCACCGCGGGTCTTGCCTGGATGGGTTGCCTGCGTTAATTCGCGCATTGTTGGTCACATACACTGGTCGCATACATATGGTAGCACAGATTACGAGCGTGTGCAGGGTTGCACTGAAAGTCTGAGAGTGATGGCAAGTTACGCTGAAACCTTTGGCTGCTCCTGATGGCGCAACATTGTGATTTTCGTTAACAAATGCCATCAGATGAATACAATTCGTTCGACGCATTTGATTGAGGCTTTGAACGTGATTGAGCCCATCCGTTTAGACAGGTCCGTTTAGACAGGGGGTGATTGATGCAACGCCCTGAGGTGTTTTGAGAATACCTTTACAACATGTCGTGCAATCGCGTACAAATGTTCAGTTCCCTATGGGCATCCATTGAACATGCTCTGACACCAAAACATTTTCCCAGCCTTTGTGGTTTCGGAGCAACGATGATCTACGAGAAACACTGCTCGGCAATTACGGTCTGAACGGGCAGCGGGCGGAGACGGCGATATGGCGGAACACGCGCGGCGGATAAAACATGAAAAAAGTGAAACTCGATGGGAAGCTCGACATTTGACCGTGCATGATGGTGTCAGTTATTGGCCTGACAGCATACTAACGAGTTCCAATCGCAAGGTCCCGTTGAGGCCAATCTACCTGTCTTTTTGGCAGAGCTCTATCTTAACTTCTTTGTAAACAGCAATGGGAGTCGCATTAACCCTCCTTATCAGTCCGCGTTATGAAAAACGGAGGATCAGGGCGAGGGTCAAAATGCCAAATAGACATTATTAGCCTGCTTCGACCGATGTGATTCGGTTTTTCACCTCTTAAATATTGTGCGGTTCTCCTCTTACAAGAAAAGGAAATAAAATCAGGGATTTGCACAGGGACAGATGGACACAGGGGTTTGCAAATGGCAAAGGGGAGGGATTAGCGCCACACAACTGAAACACTTTTCACTGACAACCTCGGTTGGCACGGCACAGTTTTTTGGGTTAGTGCGGAAAACTTTTGGGGCAATATGAACAGAGACTGCAAAAATTGAAGTTCGTCAAAAGCGTGGCTGAGTGGGTCGGGCTGCCTAAGCTCAAATGTCGCAATGAGTTGCGGGTAAGACTTGATCGGCAGTGGATTGTTTTGAATATAATAGCAACTTACACGGCCTGGCCCAGCCCCGTCCGGTCAGGTCGGGCCGGCCAGCATGGTTTCTATAATGTAATATCTCTGAATACACTGGCCGATGGCTCACGAAGTTTTGAGTAACAAGAAGCGCTGACTTGGAAACGTTTCATACAAGTGCGAATGCGCAAGTTCGTAGCAGGCGAAGAAAACAAGTGCAGACAAAACTATCTGATCTAACAGTTCTTTTATAACAGACAGTTTTTTGCTGCGGCATTGCAATCTCACCATTGTTTTTACCTTCTCCGTGCCATTAAAATGGACAAGGCTTTATTTCCGTGGAAAAAAACGTGAGTAAAACGGATCAAGCCGGGCTCGAATTTCGACAGTCCGGCGTCAGCAGCGCGACCCTGGCAAATATTAATAGGGAAGGACGCGGCCGATCGCCGTGACGAAAGTGTGAATAGGTATAAATAGATCAGGACCTGATATCGTGTGCAAAACAAGAATTCTTCAATTTTGTGACAGTTTGAAGCATTGATATCTTATGGACACAAAATTATTTCCAACGTCGGCGGCCCTTTAACTGCAATCATCAACACCAAGAAGTCGTATCATATCTCAACAAGCAGAGCAGTCCAAAATGTGAAACCGACGGCACAGTGTGCGTGGATGTATCTGCGGCGTGGATGCGGATCTGCACGTGGATGTATCTGCAGCGTGGATGTGGACCTACACGTGGACGAATCTGAAGCTCGCGGACGCTTTCAAGCCGTCCGACCCATGTGTGTGTTAGTGAGCGATCAGAGTGCAACCCGCGTTACTTTCTTCGAGACAAGTCCCTGACACTGGACACTGTGGCCTAAACCAGGGAGGACTAACCAGCGAAAACGGCACAGGTGTGTGGTGTTGTTAAAGTTAGTCAAGATTAACGAAAATTGCTGCATTTTTCGTGAGACCTTGGCAATTGTGAAAAACGTATATCATTGCAAATTTATTAATACCATCAATTTAAATATCCAGCACTGACCGCGCGTATATCAGCTAACCTTCAATCAGTGTTGTTTGTACATTACTGCGCAACTATTGATATGCGTCTCTGTACCTCTATCTAATCAATTCTCATCACAAGCAAGACTGACCAATTCCTCCTCCTCAAAAGATTGGTCACAACCCTTGGCATCCTTTGTCAAACGAGTCAGGCCTCACTAGCCTAGCTTTCATATCATCTGCATCATAACAGTTAACAACTTTCACCTGTGTTATCGCCTCGTTCGTCTCCCAGCACTCAAGGCATGTTACTGGGCTAACGGAGGGTTGATAGCAGCGCGGGCGCCAGCTACGCGCCGCCGGTTCTGAAGCGATACCCCGACATTCACGGTCGGTGCCGGTGCTGAACTGGCTCCCGTCTCTTTTTCATCACTTATCGCGGCATGCCCGGCTGAGTGCTCCGTCTAATCCCGCGCCTGGCCGTCAGCGGCTGTCTGTGACTCGCAAGCATGCCCGCTGTCCTAAGGCTGAGGCCTGCCTCGTCGACACGCGTCGGTCGAAGGTCGTCTGCCCACCGCGCTGGAACCCATACCGTCGCGTACGTTACATGCAATGCGCATGGCGAATAAGACAAGATGGATATGCTGCCAGCAGGAGAGCAGCCATACCATGCCTTGTGCAAGGACTGAAATACATACGCGACAACTTTCGCAGGGTGCGCGTTACCCTCGTCACAACCGTGCCTGTGCTTCGTGAACGCGACCTGACCTGGAGCGATGACGTACCGTCCGAGAATCCTTGAATGACACGATGTACCAACGATCCCAAATCATGCGCAACGTGACCACCATGACTTGCCTTACAATTATCATCAATACTACCTGCTAAGACCGCTGGACAACAGGCTCGATCGACAGCAACCAGACATATTTAGCATCACCAACAACACACAAACGTTTTTCATTCCCAACAGCATGCGCCAGCCGACCCATGAAGTCCAGAGCCTTGAAGATGGCGCCACTTGGTGGTCGGCAGATGACTCGAGCTGCGACCGAGCGCATCGTGACGGAGCTCAAGCTGGTGGCGCCAGGTGAATCAGACGATGGAGTCGTCAGTCTGCGATTCTCAGCGGGAGACGGGCTGTTATCAAGCCACTCAAAGAAGGCGTCCATGTCGCGACCGCGTCGGTCCTGAATTGTTTTATAGCTCGGACTCCCCCCTCTCCCTCTCACACACACACTCTAGTTCTCCCTCCCTCTTCTCAACTCACGTTCCCAACTAACTTGGTGATACACCTCTGGCCACATCACTAGTAGGGCAGTCATCCCATGTTCGATTACCGCCTATAATCATAATATAAGGCTCTCGGAAACAAAACACGATTCGCTCGTAAATCAGGGGATCCATATGCTGTGATCTATGGCGAACGCTCCATGCCACAGATGGTCAGATGGATTGTTCAACGACTGCTGAAGGCAACATACACCTGACTGCATGTTCTTTGATTATATATCTGGTGGTATTCACTCGCTGTCAGCCTTTAACATGGAAATGTTTAGCGACCAATATGCCTATGCTGAATTCTCAGTCGTTACATGCCTACGCCGCGGCACCGCACGTCCTCCACCAATTCGCGCCCATGAAGCGCCAACAACTTTCCGCCAACGTGCGCGGCAAATCACGTACGACGCCCTCCCCTGCGAGCCCGTTCTGTGCCTCCCCACCCGCCGGGGACACGCCGCACGTACGACACCCTCCCCTGCGAGCCCGTTCTGTGCCTCCCCACCCCCGGGGATACGCCGCACGTACGACCCCTCCCCTGCGAGCCCGTTCTGTACCTCCCCCCCGCCGGGATACGCCGCACGTACGACGCCCTCCCCTGCGAGCCCGTTCTGTGCCTCCCCATCCGCCGAGGACACGCCGCACGTACGCCCCCCCCCCCCCCCTGCGAGCCCGTTCTGTGCCTCCCCACTCGCCGGGCACGCCGCACGTCCACCCTCCCCCTGCGAGCCCGTTCTGTGCCTCCCCACCCGCCGGGGATACGCCGCACGTACGACACCCTCCCCTGCGAGCCCGTTCTGTACCTCCCCACCCGCCGGGGATACGCCGCACGTACGACGCCCTCCCCTGCGAGCCCGTTCTGTGCCTCCCCACCCGCCGGGGACACGCCGCACGCACGACACCCTCCCCTGCGAGCCCGTTCTGTGCCTCCCCACCCTCCGGGGATACGCCACACGTACGACACCCTCCCCTGCGAGCCCGTTCTGTGCCTCCCCACCCGCCGGGGACACGCCGGAACACAGCCATGCTGTGGACGGCTTGCCTCACATATAATCGTCGGCGAACCGATCCCGTCCGGAGCGACTGTCACCGCGTCGACCGGAGTACGCGCGGGGCTCGTCATCGACCTCGTACGCTCGGTTCTCCCGTCCGCTCAGCTCGTACGCTGGCTCTCGGTACGGGCGCGCGGCCCCCTGGCGTACGGGTCCGGCCGAGCCGCGGTGGCCCCTCCGCGACCGCGCAGCGGCCGCCGAGTCGGCGTCGACGTCGAGCACGGCCTTGTCCTCATCCTCGTGCTGGCCGGTCGGGTGATGCAGCTCGATAGCCAGGAGGTAGACCAGCGCGCCGATGACGGCACCGAGGTGGCAGGCCACGATCGGGACCCACCAGAAGTGGTCACAGTACCTGCGGGCGGATCACGAGCGTGAGCCGGACGGCGGTGTCAGGACCCGCTGGGAGCCGCTGGGAACATCGAGACGGAGGGACAAGCAGAGTGCTGCTCAGAAGGTCAAACATGTCGCGCAAGGGGTGACGTTTTGCCCAGCAGCTGAAGGGGGGGGGGGGTTGGCAAAATGTACCAGTCAGAGGTCCTGGTTTAGAGCTTCTTGTGCGAAATCTTCGACGGAGGTGTGTGCTCAGCACGACTGCCCATATGTTTCACAAACATTAAATTAGGCCGCCTAAGATAATTTTCCACTCGTTTGCACGTGCAGACGGGAGCACAGCCACGGTCCAAGTTTTGACGTACTTGAACACGTCCTTGTAGCCGATGATATAGGAGTAGACCCGTGGGGCGAAGTCACGTGCCGGATTCAGCGCCGCGCCGGTGTTCGAACTCGAGCACGTGATGACCCCAAACAGGGTCACGCCGATGGCCAGCGGTACCACACCCTTGGGCACGTTCGTGTTGCGCTTATCCGTGATGGCCATGATGCCATACATGAGCAGGGCAGTGCCCATCACCTGGAACATAGAACGGGTACTAGTCGACAGCCGGTGTGTGCTCGCGACCTACGCCGTTGCTACTGACAGTTGAGCTGGCGCCAGCATGGCCATTGTGGGGCTCGCATCGCGCCATTCTCACACTGGCTGAGTGAACGTAACGAAAAGCTCTTGGCACTGACCTCAGCTTATCACGTCTCTCATGCTGCGGCGAGCAGCTCGGCCGAAGCCGCAGCGGTTTGGGCCATCTCGCTTGGACAGTTTTCACGGCTCGCCTCGACAGCTCGCCATTACCTGGTCCAGAAAGGCGCCTCCCAGCGATATGTTCTGCAGCTTGAAGTCACGGTTCAGCTCGGGGTAGGTGGCGAAGATGCCGTACAGTGTACTATATCTGCCGGGGTCTTTCTTGAACAAATCTGAGGGGAAGAGAGTTGGCTGCTCAGGTTCACCGCGCTGTGATCGTGCCAAACGGCCCACGAACGATGGAGCTGTTTCAAAACACAAAGGATATTAACCAGTCAGCACGGCAGTGAACCAAACGTCCCAAATCGGAACGATTTGGCTCTGTTCTCTGTCTCGTTCGGACGGGAATTGTGATCTACGCCGGCACAGCACAGCATCCATCCCATCGGAATGCATATGGGATGAACATAAAAAGTGTGCAAGGTGTGTGCAAGGCTCGCCTGGTGAAAAGCGCATCTGGGAGCTTTCTTTTTGCTTTTTACTTCTAGCTGAAGTTTTTTGCTGCTTCCGGATGGTGCTGAATAATATGAAATAAAATTAAATGGAAAATTCTGAACGTTCAGATCACGTCGATCTCCAGGCAAGCTGGTGCGCCAATCGATGCAACTGCCGCAACGTACTGGTCATTCGCACACACTAGTGCCACAACAAGGCCGGCTTCTCACCCATAAACGCCTCGTTAAAGACACGTGGTCACACTGGTGACGGCCACATGGCTGCCACATCCTTCACGCCGCCCCGGTGCCGCGCGCACGGGCTCCACCCCTCGGCCGAAAACTCACCGAAATAGAGTCCGTGCGTGAGAGCGGCACCGATGAAGCCGCCGATGTACTGCGCCAGGACGAACGGCAGCACGCGGTTCAGCTGGCAGCGCCCGGCCAGACTGAGCGCCACGGTCACCGCCGGGTTCACGTGGCCCCCTGCCGGCGCGACGACGGCCACCACTCATCGAGGGCACGCCGCCGCCGGCGTCGCGCGTCAGAGGGGCCGGCCGAACGCAGCGCCGCATCATCGGCATCACCCGGGTGGGGAGTGAGGGAGATGGGCGAGGCGCGGACTTCCGCGCGGTCGTTGATGACCAGTCGAACCGCAGTATCACCAGTACAGCACTGTGCGGTCATCCACACCACCAAGCCTCTCTGGTTTTAGCATGCGGATACGGGGCTGCGTTATTACAACGCTGAAGGCACGCGGTTAGTCAGAGGCCTCGAGTTCTCATCCAGACGCCATGTGGCCCCACCAGTGGTCACAGGACGCATGCATGGACAGCGGTCCCACCGACCCCCGGCGGCATGGCGAATCTTCGTTACCGCAAGGATTCAACGACACGGGTGCTGACCGCAACGCATGTGATAACTGACGCGCACATGACATCCCACACCCAACAGGTGCCTCGCACACGTGCGATGACTGACATGCGTGTGACGTCGAACACGCATCGGTTGGCTGATTCATGACGGATGACCGACATACGCTGGATGACTGACACATGCCCGGTGACTGGCCCACGTGCGAATGACGTCTCAACCGCGAAACATGACTGCCACGGGGCGGAGCAGGGCGGGGCAGGGCGGGGTGAAGCGCGGCGGGGCGGGGCAGAACGGGACAGGACGAGAAGGGGCGGAGTGGGGAGCGGCGGGTTAGATCAGACGAACCAGGGCGGGGGGGGGGGGGGAGTCGTGCTGGCCCGATACTTGCCTGAGACACCGCCGGTGGCAAACACGGAGATGGCGAGCGCCACGCCGTAGCCGAGCGCCTCATTGTTCATCGCGTTCACTGCGTTGTTGGCGATGACGGAGTTGCCGATGAACTGCAAATGCCGGGCGGTGCAGGCTGATGATGTCACGGACCGGCGATCGCACGGTGCTCGCAAGTCGCGTGCACGGATCACACAGATCGCGGGACTGGTCGGACCCATACGGCACGACGCACGACTGGTCAGACCCATACGGCACGCCGCACGACTTGTCAGACCCATACGGCACGCCGCACGACTGGTCGGACCCATACAGCACGCCGCACGACCGGTCGGACTCATACGGCACGCCGCACGACTGGCCAGACCCATACGGCACGCCGCACGACTGGTCGGACCCATACAGCACGCCGCACGACTGGTCAGACCCATACAGCACGCCGCACGACTGGTCGGACCCATACAGCACGCCGCACGACTGGTCGGACTCATACGGCACGCCGCACGACTGGTCAGACCCATACGGCACGCCGCACGACTGGTCGGACCCATACGGCACGCCGCACGACTGGTCGGACCCATACGGCACGCCGCACGACTGGTCAGACCCATACAGCACGCCGCACGACTGGTCAGACCCATACGGCACGCCGCACGACTGGTCGGACCCATACGGCACGCCGTACAACAAAAGTTGTGGAGTGTGTATGAAAATGTGTCACTCACCTTTCTAAGGAAATGGATGACGCACGAAGTATTACGCGTAATTTACGGATGCAAAGTAATCCTGCCATGCATTTGGTTTGATTTTCATTGGAGGGGCACCAAAATCTCATGCTAAAGGGACACCAAAACTTTCAATTCGGAACCACACAATTTTTATTTTCGAGAGGTCCCAAATTCCAAGGGCACCGCAATGGGCCCGAAATCTTCATTTCAGAAAGGCACCTAGGTCTAGGGCCACTGAAATGCCAAAATACTTCCTATCAGAAAATCCTGCATCGGCTATTTCGATGAAGGGCCGCTACAGTCTTCTTTTTCCAAGGCACAATAATGCTACGCCTACCAATCTGACGAAGTCTCGCATCGGCCCCATGGGCGACGGGGTACCAAAACCCTCTTTTGGGGCACCATAACCTTTTCAGAATGAGCATTAAATCCTAACGGGCTTTTTAAAGGGACCAACGCCATGAGTTACAAAGCTGACCAAAATCCAGGGCACCGCAATTTCTTTGCTTTCCACCCTGAATGAATCTTGGATCGGCCTCTTCAGCGAAAGGACACTAAGATCTTCCCTTTCGGAGCATCATAAGCTCTTTGTTCAACGGGCACCTAATTCCTGTAAGCAGCTCACAGGGCCCGAAAACTTTCATATTCAAGGTACCACAAACTCCAGAGGGCACTGCAATGCTCGTGCCTTCCCATTGACGAAATTCTAGATTGGCGCGCTCAGCGTTGGCCCCGCCCAGGCTTTACTTGGGGCCACGATAACCTCTATTTTCAAGGGGCCCTGAATCTAGACAGGTCTTTTAAAGGAACCCAAAACATCCATTTCCAAGGGGCACCAAAGCCCAGGGGCAGTGGAATTTCCGTACCTTTCAGCCTAACCTTATGTTGTGTCGGCCCCTTCGACGAAGGAATGCACAAAACCGCTTCATTTTGGGGCATTATTACTTTTGTATTCAAGGGATACCCAAGTGCAGGGCACCACAACGGACCTCGAAAGCTGAATTCCAAGGACACCACCATCATGAGAGCATGTAGGGGGGGGGGGGGGCGCAGGGGCACGCAACTCTTTGGGGCCCTTAGGTTCCAAAGTTTCTTTGGGCTGATGGAGGACCAACGATCAGGGGTCCGACTATAGGGTCCGAAGGAAAGGTCAGATGTCATGTGAAGGAAGCTCAGCCCGAAGGCCTGACCATGAAATGTGTCAGAGGGCCTCTTGAATCGACCGGAGGCCCCTAGGATAGTGAGTGCCTATATGCCAGTAAAGTGCAACACCAGTACTGAACCTGGGGCCCGATTCCACGCAGGGGCGAGGCCGGGCCTGAAAGTGTCAATCAAAAGTCCTCTCGTACTGGTCGGGCCACTGAAATAACGAAGTCACTCTATGCGAAGTCCCCGAAAACCCCCTGAAGTCCACCTGGGACCCTGTAGTGTCCAACAGGGGACCCTGAATCGACAATGAGCGTCAAGTCGGCCAGGAGCACATTTGCTGCCCAGGGACAGGCACAGGGCTCTGAAAGTCAAAATCCATCTTGTGTTGGTGGATTCCTATTAATAATGAATGGATATATGGGAACTAACGGTGCAAGGAATCCGCGTTTTTTTGTAGATGAATGCTTTAAACTTACAATGAAACGGCAGAAAGCCCCGTATAAGTCAGACGCCACAGTGCTGAACGAAGGGCCCTCCGTACCGTTTCGGCAAGGGCCGATAAGACCGGATAGGCGTCTCGGTGCCAATTATTGTACTTCCAGGGCCGGTGGATCCTTTTGCGTCAGTGAGGGTTCTGCGTCGATTCGGCGCCAGACGCCCTACCCCGGTCAGGGGGCTCTTCCTACCCTGGTCTGACGGCCTGCCGCAGCAGAGAGGGGACCGGCGCGGTGCGTGATGTGTCCCTCCGGGGCCTCCAGATCGGCCAGGGGACTCCGGTCCCCGTACCGCCGGGGACCCCGGCCGGGGACGCAAGAACCCTTCAACCCCTGATCAGGGGATTTCACATGTGCGGCTTCGAATTTGATTATCTGAACGGAATTAGCAGGTGCATCAACGCAAGCAGCATCGATTACACCATTGCGTCACATATCCGTGGTGCTGTACGCCTGTCCGTGTTGATCTGTTTCCAGTATCAATCTCAAAATTTTACTAGTGAAAAGTGCAGCCCGGCATGCCCTTCACGCGCATACATTGATTTCACAAAGCGCTCGAAAGCAGCACTTTCCTGAGCGTGGTCGTTTCGCCCGCCCATGGACCTCCGCCGGGTGATGGCTGCCGGGCCAATGTCGCGCGGCCCGTGGAGAGTGCAACGCCGAGCGTGGGCGCTCTTTCTCCAAGACGGCGAGCGTACTCACTCAAAACCACTTAATGTCATTTGTCACTAATGACGTCTGAAGAAAGGATGAACATCCGCAAGCTAACAAAGGCTGGACAATCAATGACAAGTTTGTTTACTCTGTTTCGAGCTACGCTGGCGTTCAATCCTCGTGCCCCTCAATATATTTGAAAACCGGGAAACCCGACAACGCCCCTGACAAGCGGGCATCCGACCAGGCTTCATTCGACCCTTTATGGAAGAGGCCGAACGTACCATTACAAAATGAATAGCGGCCGCGGTTTGTTGGGTGCAGTCACTTTATTTCATTTCACTCAGTCAACGTTCCTGGTTGATTTCATTCGATCTACTTTTAAATACATGCAGAACTGTATCTTGAGATAGCTTCTAGTTTTTATTTTCGCCAAAAAACTTCAACATAAAAAGAAAAATGTTGATCTCTCGAAATCGAGGGGGCTATTTCCGGCGCATCCTCTGTTTTGGCGGGGCGGGGGGGGGGGAGAGATTGTGGAGATTGATTCCCTGCTGCCTCATCACCAGCAAGGGCTCTTTGTTAACCGCGGTGGCCCGCTCTTATCGTGACTCTGACTGCACCTTTAGCCACAGTGTCTGTATATCCCTTTGCGAAGTGCCGGACATCAATCCAAGTCAGCGCAGCCAATGGGGAGGGGTCATTCGCTCTTACTTCTACATTGTTCTATTTGGCAACGCAGATGGCTTTTGACATAAATTTAAAGATCAAGGTATACTTAACACTGGACAAAACCTGCAGTGAGATCCATCCCTACCTAGCAAATATACGTGTTAGGCAGCAGCAATGCCAGTTGAGTATGTCCGTAATCAAACCAATGCAGACAGTGAGAGCTGAGCGGAAGCGTGATTCAAGTGAACGTGCCACCGATACGCACGGATTGCTAATTAAAAATTGTTTATCGAACTGATAATAATTTTTCATTTTAATGGCCAATGGATGGAAGCGTGGAGGCATGGAGCCGCGTGTATACCCAATTGACATAACAGGCCATTTAAATCACCTTACTGGGAAGCACAAAACATTGTGCGTGGTAAATACGCTCGAGGACATAAGCGGTAAGATGTGTCTCCACCACACTAAGACTGAGCTTGCCCCTGACAGAATTGGTTGGGTACTGGCGTGACCAAACAAATGCGGATGGAAAAGTTCGAGATATACCAGATTGCGCTTTTGTCCCGGCAGTTTGTATCGGATATAGCAGCCGCGTATTCCCATGCGATTTTGCGTCCGCGCGCAAGATAATGATGATAATGATGCGCACCCAGGCCACAGCATGCTTGCTAGTCCTCGGTTGCTGAAGCTGTGAAACCCATATTAGTCGAGTTGCCATCGTTACGCTTCCTTCATGAGGCCCTGCAATGTCGACTACCCCAAACTTTTTCACGGAAGTATGTTCTATGTAGCAAAGAGATCCACATTATGTTAGGTGCTACCCGTGCAACTCTGGGCGTTTCACAGAATTCAAGATGGTGGCCAGTGCCATCTTGAATGCTGGTCCAGTTTCAAAGCTTTTCTCGACGACCTAGAGGGTCGTGGGATGCCGTTTATGTGGATTTTCGATGGCGGAGAGACTATATCTGCAGTTGTTCTTAATGCATGAGGTCAACATCAAGGTTAAATCAAAAGTAAAAGGTCAAACGTGATTATAGATCACCAAGAACCCTCTGTTGATACACACGCACACACACACACACACACACACACACACACACACACACACACACACACACACACACACACACACACACACACACACACACACACACACACACACACACACACACACATGTATATATATATATATATATATATATATATATATATATATATCCCCTCTCTCTCTCTCTCTCTCTCTCCTCTCTCTCTCTCTCTCTCTCTCTCCTCTCTCTCTCTCTCTCTCTCTCTCTCTCTCTCTCTCTCTCTCTCTCTCTCTTGTTGTTTTTTCGAACTCATTGTAACGGTACAACTCGCGGCTGCTGCATGTGTTACAAGTGATGATAATATTGGATAGTGTGCTATGTACACAACGCATGTTCACAGGCGAATACAATGCATACGTAGACATGCACTATCGGCCGTACTAAAGAGACTGTTCAGAAGCTCGTCGCTGCAAAGCGATAATCATGAGTAGCACGCAACTCTATCAGGACGTGATATCTTAGCTCACAAAGCATGCTACTCGAGCTTCATATTGAGAGAAGAAACAATGACCGACACGGTAAAGGCACGTAACGTAATCTCGCATCCGGACGGAATCATCGGGATATGCGACTGTTGTTGCCGACAGTCAGAACGCCAACTCGTTTTGCCATGTCATCCCCGACATACACAGCTCAGAATGTTAGGCTACGTCAGCTTTTGGAAATAATGTACGCACGCCATGTGCATGCATGCTTACAAACTCGGTGTAGTGCTCTACGATGCGGAGAGGAAATTAGTTCGCCGATTAAAAATGCGAATCTGGAAATAAAACGTCTAGAATTAGGGAACTTTTGCGGGGTAGGGGGAGGGGGCGGGGCACAACGGTACAGGGGCACCGCAGTGGAGAGTGGTCCCTCGCTGAACGAAATCCTGGGGATCTGCTCCTGATGGAAATATATTATTGAGGTCTTCATTTGTTTGACAATTTAACTTCGATGTCATTGGGTCGCAGTTCTCAAACACTAGGTAGGAACGCTAGCATTTCAGCTTCAATTAGCTCAGCTAGATGTCACATATCCATGCGATATGGCGCGTGTTTTTTTTCATATTCATACTCAAATAAGTCTCAAAATCATGCCGTACGTCAATGTCACTGTTAACCCTCACCCCGGTTCGCAGTTGTTCATGACGCGCATTGGTACGAAAACAGGCGTATCTATCGCCTAATTCTGACTATATTGACGTATCGTTGTTTATGCTTTGAGCATACATTTATGATGTATGACTCCGTCAATGTAATTTTGTCGGCCCACCTCGCGTACTCGGCGGCATCGTCCGTCACGACTCGTCGTCCGCTCCGGTCGTAGATCGCCGTGTAGATAACAAATAAGAACTTTTCCCAGTGGTGCTCAAGTAAGACTACGCCCCTGCCAGCGCCAAGTCAAGGCGTGTTGCTTTAAGCATATGGCCAAAGTCTGCGTCTTTGAGGGCTAGGTCAGTACCTGTCCCTATGCACATCAGGCCAGGGTCTGGCCCTTTGTTCACGAAATGAGGGCCAGTTTCTATGTGTGCGAAATCAGAATCTGTCCCTCTCATCGCCAAGTTGGAATCTTTCCCTGATGAGCAGGTCCCAGTCTACCTAAGTGAGCACCACGCCCGAGTGCGGCTCCATTAGAGCGCGGCCGGAGTCCGCGGCGGGTGCGGGTCGCGAGCCTCACTCACCACCAGCGTCATGGTGCCCACCAGCTCCGCCAGCGTCTCGCGCACGATCGGATGTCGGAGCCGGCACGCCCGCCGCACCGGCTCCCAGCTGATGGTGGTCAGCATGGCGACACGTCCCACCGGCCCGGTCCGCCGCTGCAGGTCCGACGCCGCCACTGGAGCCTCGAGGCGTGTCGAGTCCGGGAGCAGCTGGGAGTCGGCAGCTCGGAGCGGGAGCCCGGAGCAGGAGCACGGCAGCGACGCCGCACGCACGCCGCTCGGAGACGAGTGCCGGCCGCCGCCTCTTGCGACCAGCAGCTTATCTTCGCAGCACTGATGGCCCTCGAGTGAGCGCGTCGGATGGTGTCGAGCCGAAAGGTTTGCCGTCCTCCTGTATCGACAAGTCAAACTCTCGGCGATAAAGACCGGCGTCGGACCATCTGCGCCACACAGTGGTCGAACCAGCCACAGGTCTCTGCACTCGGCCGCGCTCAACCCTCACCCACCTTCCCGGTGGCACGCCCGTGCAGCCCGGTGGCCAGCGGCCCGCGGGACGCCCACACAGCTCTGGCTCCACCGGCTCGGACGGTCTGACGTTCGCGGAAGTCGGCACAGTCAGCGGACCCTCTAGCACGGGATCATTGTCCGAAAGAAACAAGAGCCCGTGCTTTGAATTAGACGGTTTAAGTGGGCAGAGGGCACTTTGCTCGCGAAGTCTGACTTGGAAACACACTGCCATCTGGCGGCAGGATTTTCGCGTCGTCAGGACCGCGGTCAAGGTCGTATAGAGAAAGACCACACTGACATTACCCACCGCGCAATACACATGATGCTACTAACGGTACATTGCACAACAATGTTGAATCAAGCTCCCGTGTTTCGGTGCTGTTGGCAATTTTTATGCACGCCGAGCCTTAAGAGAATCGTACAAACAAGAGAATCGCAAAGTGGTCATACATATTCGTTTGGTCGAGATAGAGGTTGCTAAAAGTCTTTAGATCTGGTACCAGCCGCAACCGCCCAGCCTGGGACGGCTCCCTGAAGTGATCACGTTTCGGTACAAGGTTCCGACTGCGAAGCATCTCAGCGCGTTTTAAAGAGCATCTGCAGCGTTCCATTTCAGGTCCATTGTCAGTTGGTGGCGTTGGAATGGAAACTATATCCATGGCATTTGTCACACCAGGGATTTGCCACACAAACTATGGCCGGCCCATGTGTTGTCGGCATAATATTTTGTTGAGCGTTGCTGCTGTTGCCAAAAATTTGCACACACCCCCCCATGCCAAATGTTTAGATGTTCAATGCCCCTTTCCTTCGAACATTGATGCATCTATTTTTCTCCAGCTTTCCAACTTTGGACATCGGTGCTAGGAACACTTCCTCATAACTGATTTACGTATGTGCTGAACTGCACCCGTGCACTAAGCCAACTTGAACCCGGCTAAGATCCAACTGCAAATAGCTAAGAGAAAACGTCTGTTGATTCCTCCATCAAAGCGTCCGACAATGCCTATATCTGATATCAATGAAGTGTGCCACTGCTATTTATGACGGCATCATGCCAACGGGATCTTTGACCTCAGCTTCGAGTCTAATCCAGAATACAACAGGCGTCAAACTGCTCCACATGGCTGACAAGCTTTGGTTTAGCCGCAAGGCATCATTTCAGCGATTTCAGCGAGCCATAAAATATTGTCCACGATAGCGAGCACCAAGGAAAACTAGAGCATGACGCTGCCGAAGCTTAACATGGTGCAGAGGGGCGCCGGGGGAGCAGCCAATGCTCGGCTGGGCTGAGCCGCAGCATGATGACATGGTAACCGTTGTGATGGGGGCCTCTCCATCAGACATCGCTGGCTCCGGCCGCAGCATGATGACATGATGACCGTTGTGATGGGCGCCCTCCATCAGACAGAGCTGGCCCCGGACGCAACATGATGACATGATGACCATTGTGATGGGCGCCCCTCCACCAGACAGAGCTGGCCCCGGACGCAACATGATGACGTGATGACCATTGTGATGGGCACCCCTCCATCAGACAGAGCTGGCCCCGGACGCAACATGATGACATGACAACCATTGTGATGGGTGCCCCTCCATCAGACAGAGCTGGCTCCGGCCGCAGCATGATGACATGATGACCGTTGTGATGGGCACCCCTCCATCAGACAGGGCTGGCTCCGGCCGCAGCATGACATGATGACAGTGGGATGGGCAGCCCTCCATCAGACAGAGCTGGCTCCGGCCGCAGCATGATGACATGATGACCGTTGTGATCGGCGCCTCTCCATCAGACAGCGCTGGCTCCGGCCATAGTATGATGACATGATAACCGTTGTGATCGGCGCCCCTCCATCAGACAGAGGTGTGGCTCAGAGACGAACCAGACCGGCTCCTCTGAGAGTGATGCTGTGACCATGAAGGACGAGCTCCAGCGACACAGTTTGCACGGATTCGGCACGGGTCATCCAAACTGTGTCGTGACTGAAAGATGGGAGGTGACGAGTCCACGGAAAAGACTGGGAGGGAGACTGAAAGATGGGAGGTGACGAATCCACGGAGAAGACTGGGAGGGAGACTGAAAGATGGGAGGTGACGAGTCCACGGAGAAGACTGGGAGGGAGACTGAAACATGGGAGGTTACGAGTCTATGGAGAAGACTGGGGGTAAAACTGGAGACGTCTGGGAGGCCTGGCGACATGGGATTTCTGGTTAACTCCATGGAACAAGATATTGTGCATGTCTCCCGATTTTTTGTTGCAAAAACGGGATAAGAATCACCGTCAGGAAACTCAGCCCACAGTTCTTGGGTCTCAAGCATTCAGCGGCTTCCCACCATCAACATTCAACTTATGGGAGCCGCTGTCGCTAGTTCTACCACTGTGCGGAGCCTGAGTGTCGCATTTGACCAGCGCGTGACATTCTCGGCGCACACTGACAACGTTGTGAAGTGGTGTACAGAAATGCGTGACCACAAAAAGCGCAGCCTCTGCCACAGTCTGCCCTAGTCATGGTGGTAGAGGTACTTGTGTCCCTGATCCGATTCTGTATCGCCGTTTACGGAGCAGTCAACAGCATTCATCTAGGCTGATTTCAAAAGCTTTTAATCTTCGCAGCCTGGGTTATTTCCGGATGAGGGAAATATGATTACATCAGTGATGTTCTACGAAAACTTAAGCGGCTCTGAGCAAAGAATATGCACTTGTACCTCGTCCTCACTCTTCGCAGAGAAAATTGAGGACATCCGAGCCCGATTCACTTGCTCGTGACCTCGTGACCTCGTTACCAAACATGACATTCACCATCGCACCGCCAGACATTGTCAGAGGCTCATGACTCCTCCGACGCCCTCCCGGTCTGGCAGGTGGAGGTCCTGCCAGACCGGGAGGCAGAGGCTCGTGACTCCTCCGACGCCCTCCCGGTCTGGCAGGTGGAGGTCCTGCCAGACCGGGGGGGGGGGGGGGTATCGGAGGGCATGGTCACTTGATCATAACTGCATGCAATGATCCGCCGGCTACTATCCGTGCGATGGACTTCGCACATGATCATCGTGGCCAGAAACCACATGATACAAGGGAAATGATGCAACCGCAATGTACCGAGCAGCTGACTGACCATTCGGCTCATACCGTCATGTATGCCCGCGTGTACGCTGTGTGTCGTTCGTGTGCACTACCCACTTGACCCAACGTTTCATGTATTGTCTGGCACGTGGTTCAGAATAGCCATACTTGCCATACTGTCGAGTTGCCTCACGACATGCACAAATCCAAATCCAAATCCAAATACTGCTACAAGTGCTAGGATGTTTCTGCCATCTGTTCGCTCTTCACACACTGACATTCTGCGCCCGTGCTCACCACTGTCGTGCGCAAGTATGGCGACAGCGGGTTGAGACCTAGGCAAAGCAAGGGGATGCCAAACATGCAAAATCAGGACATTTCCACCATTCTGCAATTGTTTTGGTAAAGTGCCACTTAAAGCATGGCTAACTGCGCGTTGCAGATGGAGAAATAATAAGTTTGCGGTTGAAACACAAATATCAGTTGGTTGAGGGATAAGTCAAACCATTAAGTTAGTTCGTGAAGTAGCTGACGACACGCGAGCGTGACATCACAGCAGCCTCAGCGAGAGTTGTACAGTAGCCAGGAGAAATCGCACGCTTTATTTTTGCCTATTCTATCTGGGAAGCGTTTCGGGTGGCTTGAGGACTTAAGTCTAAAGGTGGTGCCAAAGATCTCTCTGCACCATTTTCAGTTGCTGGAGCAGCCAAATAGTGTGTTTCGCGCGTAAGAGGATAACAGGCCGTTTCATTTTTGACCCTTATCGGTGGTTATGATTTAATAATTTGCTTGTTGGGGCCGAAAGGAACAGGGGGCCAGGGACGGAAAAGCTGATGTTAAGTTTCTGCGTTTCAGATGAAATCGTCAAGTTTTCAGTTGACATGTGGCCGCGCTCCCTTGCCCATAAAGTGCGCTCGTCATGCCGGTGCGGCGGGCCTCTTGTTCAGTACCTTGATTTACTGACCTGTCTGCGCACGGTCATAATCTGGTCCTGATACGGTGGGCTGCACCATAAGCCGCGGCGATCAGCGATGGGACTTTGATAGAGCGGCTCGACGGCCAATGACAAACAGAACGCTGTCCAGATTGCCTTGACGTTTGAACAAGATAGCTCCATGCGCTGGGACTTGATCTGATTGTCGAGTAGACAGATAAGTAAGTCATCTGAGCACATTTATATTTTTTGTCAATACGTGATTCTGAAACACCGCCGATGGCATGATCAAAATGATCATAACGTCTGTTTGAAGGTCACAGAGATGAGAAGGCGCCCTGCTTGGCGTTTATTTCGTGACAGCGGTAAACTGGCGCCATCGGCAGCTGCTCCGCCTTGGCTTCGGCATCACCCGCATTTCCCGATGCCCAGGCCCAGCTCTTGACGCAGGGTCCAGACGATGACGCGACGTAAGGCATGCCTGCAGACTGCACGCGGTGAGGGGGCCGCTGGTCCTCTCACTCGCCAAGTTATGTAGCATCGCTGCCACTACCCGCTCCCCCCCCCCCCCTCCCCGTCCAGCCCACGATTGTCAGGGTGTTAAAAGCACCCCTCCCTCCCGACGGGTTCCTCAGATGATTTCCGGTCCACGCTACGTTGACCCACAAGTGATTGGCTTAGCATATTTGGGAGGAGCTTTCTTTCATGCTACATCGTGTCACTCAGTTATGGTGCCAACATTAATCAGTTTCCACGGGATTTTCCCTGAGCATGGGATAATTCGCCGTTCCCTTTTTTGTTTAGA